AGAGAGAGAGAGAGAGAGAGAGAGAGAGAGAGAGAGAGAGAGAGAGAGAGAGAGAGAGATGGACACACACAAGTAGCAGCAGCTGAGTGAAGGTCCAGTCCGGCTCAATGAAAGAACGAACAACTGAATGAACCAACTGACTCCCGAGCATGGGCCCAGGCCGAAGTGATATACCGGCCTAGGTCCAGGTACGGGAACAACCTGGTACCGGGCCAGGGTCAGGCCGACCGCCTGAAACTGGTCCGGTCTCACTGTCGGGCCGTAGGGGTACCGCTACACGATCCTCGGACCTGTGAATGGATCAAGCGATACATCAAACACGCTATCCGCTGAAATAGCGGAAACCCAAAAGGAACGGCGAAGGAAACAATCCTAGATGCGGAGTAAGCTCCATGCAGGAATAGAGATGCAATGCAGACTAAGCCTCAAGCCTAATCTATGCAACAATGTCCGGTCTGAGTCGACCCAAAAGGCAGAAAAATGTCTGACCTGTGTCAGCCAAGAAAGGGAAAAATGTCTCCTGAGCCAAAGAGGCTGAATATAAATCAACACCAGGGCCCTAAAGGCCAAAGAATAACTGAACCAATGTCCTAAGTCGAAAAAGAATGTGGCACAGTCTCTGCCCTGTACACAATGCACAATGCCTGAACAAAAGAGAAGGGAACTCAGTCGCATGGCAGAGGTAGGAATGGGTGGGAAGGCGACAGGTACAGCTCTCAGAGTAAACTCCAAGGGGGCACCCACACAACCAGGTAAGGGTCATCAGGCTCAGAGGGAGAGTAACAGCACAACACCGGGCTCAATGGAAACCATCAAACGGGTACCGCCAGCTGAAAGGGGGAAGGGCACTCACACAAGGGAGCACACATAAGGTGAGCCTGGAGGGAGAGAGGGCTATGCCGGCATAAACATGTGGCCAAAAGCCGTGAGCAAAGAAAACGTACACTCCAGAGGAGGGCGCGCAGCATACGGTAAGGCAGAAGGGCGGCAGACGGGCACACCCACATAGACAGGGAAAATAGGGGTCATCATGCGACTGAAGGGTAAGCTGGAGGGTGGTGGATAGGTGGGAATGATGGGAACTCTGTAGCCGAAAAAGTGAAGTAGTCCAACCGATGAGTCTCCAGACTGAAGTCGAGCCGAAGTAGCCTAGATGAAGTAGGAGTACCACAAGAACCGAGTAGAAGTCCGGAACAATGCGACAGGTACTCTGGTACTGAGGAGAAGCACTGAGGTCAAAAGTCGAATATAGAAGCCAAATGTAGAGGCCGAATGTAGAAGCCGAATGTAGAAGCCGAATGTAGAAGCTGAAACCAGGAGCTGCTGCATAAGTGTCCAGGAATGGTAAAAGATAGAGTGTATGGAGGGTATAAATCAGTCACGATAACGAGAAGGAAGTCGATGGGTACGCTGAGGGCGAGAGGAATCAATTGCAACAACAGGCGGAACCACATCCACAGGGGAAGGAGGACCTGAGGCGGGTACCGGTGGAGCAGGAGGACCCATCGATGGAGGAGGGGGAATGTTAGTGGTCGCAAAGGTAGATGGGTCAGTAGTAGAAGGACGAGAAGTAGGAGGGGAGGATGATGAAGGGAAAGGATGAGCACGATCGTAAGCACACACGAAAGTCATAGCATGCTTCAGGTGCTTGAGAGGCTCCCAAGTAGACTCCTCGTCAGGGTAACCCTTCCATCGAACGAGATACTCGAGGCGGGGAGGGTCACAATCAATCATACGCCGGGACGCGATATCAGAGACGACAAACTCCTCGTGGCCCTCAATGATGATGGGAGAGGGGCGAGGGTAAGGTCGACCGTGGAACTCGGGAGGAGACCGTCTGAAGGGGCGCAAAAGAGATACATGGAACACGTCATGTAAGTTAGTGCGGTACATGGAATCGGGGAGCTTCAATTTGATGCTCACCGGACAGTCATGATTGGGTCCGGCGGGTGCAAGAATGGTGCATGGTCCGATATATCGACGTCTGAATTTTTGAAGCGTGTCAGCTTCGGGCTGGAAGTGACGTGCGTCGACAAGAACCTCGTCGCCAACTTTGAAGGGATGGTCGATGCGAGAGCGGTTAGCGCGAGTGGCCATGCGAGCCTGGGAGTCAGCAATGCTCTCACGAGCCTTGCTAAGAAGCGCATCCATCTCCTTTACCCAGTCATCGAGGGCAGGGCATTTGGTGCCGGGATGGATCTGAGATGGACGGAGAAGGTCAGGTGGGACACGAGGATGGTATCCCAAGTGATAGTAGTAGGGAGACATGTCACTGGCAGGTGAAATAGCATGGTTATAAGCAATATCTGCGTGAGCAAGATGCAAATCCCAATCAGAGTCATTCTCAACAAACTTCTTGAGGATACTCCCAAGAGTTTTGTTGGTGACCTCAGTCTGTCCATCTGACTGGGGGTGATAGGAGGAGGAGAGGCGGAGCTTGGAGCCATAGATCTCATGGAGTCCACGCTAGAAGTGAGAAGTAAAGCGGGGATCGCGATCAGAGACGATGCTAGTGGGAAGACCGTGATGAATGGCAATGCGGTTAAAGTATAGGGAGGCGATGTTTTTGGCGGAACTAGCATACTTGCAAGGGAGGACGTGAGCATGCTTAGTCAACCGGCGGACAACGACGAAGATGGCGTCCTAGCCTCGTGGGGTACGGGGACGAAGAGGACCGATGAAGTCCATGGAGACAGAAGTCCAACGTCGAGTGGGAATCGGTAAGGGCTGAAGA